ATTTCCCTGTCACCGGGTATTCAGAGTGACAATGGACCGACACTTACTGGTTAGGCAGGCACTTCAGTGCACAGAGCAGTGGAAGTTGCAGATAAGCTCATAAACTCAAAGAGCTTATAGCAGTTCATGGAGATAATGCTGAACACTATTTTTGTTTATCAAGTAAGTAAGTGGAAAAATACACAACCGTAAGTACAATCAAAATTTTGATGAAGTAGATAAGAGCGTTCAGTGTGAAGAGAGAAAGGCTCTGTCGAGCAGGACCGTGAAAAGCTGGGACCACCTCGGGCAGACAGGGACTAGAGAGGGCGCTACCAGCAAGGGAAACAGAGCAAAGTTTACATCCCATCACCCGTCCCAAGGAATAAGCACTGGGCCGGGGAAAAGGCAGGAATCAGGACTGACAAAAGGTGAGTTTAGGAAGGCGCCCGGATGCTGCACAGCCAGGTTAAACGTTAGGGTCACTGGAGATTTGAAGTTGTTTTTTTTTTTTTTTTTAAGATAGCACTACAAAATTTTCAGTGAGTTCTATTAATATTAAAAAGATTCTTTTAATCTTTTTTGTACTAGGAACAGCCTATTATCTCATGTTGATTCCACTGTATAAACAGCATTGTCAGTTCTCACACCTCTTCAACTTCTGCCCTTCGCAGCGGATAGAAAAAATTAGTTATGCAAACACAGTGATTTTAGAACACAAATATACAAATCATGATTATTGGCTCTAAGTAGAAATTATGTTTTAAATACTGAAAGGAACCTCAGATTTTGAAATCCAAATATTAAATATTTTGTATATTAGGAAAAACAAACTAGTACCAATTTTTATTTTTGTTTTTTACACAAGGTATCATCTCTTGGTTTACAAAAGTAACTTGTTCCTTGTCAAAACCCCTTCGTTGGTAGAAAAGTTCCTTTCTCTAATTTATACTTAAAAAGCTGTAACAGCAGCCCCCAAGTGATCACCCATTAAAAAATAAAATCTCAAAAATCGTTGTTTCCCCCAACATGGCAAGCACCTTCATAAAACATGAGTTCAACAGAGAAACAGGAAAGCTTAGGGGAGATATCAAACAGCAAGATACAGCAAAATAACAAAAGGACACGAAACGTCAGCAGATACAGCTCAAGAAAGAAACGGAAAAGGAAAATAATGTCGGAAGGGGGGAGCCGGGGTGCGCCACGCAGGACACAGCACGGGGGGAGGAAGGACACTGCGGACAACACCCCAAGAGACACGTGAGCAGAACGAGCAAATGAAATAGAAACAAACAAAAAATGTAAAAGGACGGCTAACATAAACACAATCAGTGTTCTCAAAGAAAAAGAAAGTGACGCAAAACTGTTACTAGTCAATCCATTATGCACTTTTATTCTAGGACAATGGCCCAGGGAGACGTTTTTGAATGTGAAAGACTCCAGGGAAGAGAATTCTGATGTTCCCTCCTGCACAGAGGACCCGCTTCAGCTAAACAGAAACAGTGGCACAGGCCCGAAGGTGAGCTGGGAATCCATTTATTTGTAAAAGTAATGTTAAAACGAAAAAGATTATGACTGCAGAACAGAATGTGAATGTTATGAACCCTGACTGTATATATTTTAAAAGATACTGCTTTCATTCATTATAAAAATCATGCCCTGGCTGGTGTGGCTCAGCAGATTGAGTGCCAGCCTATGAGCCAAAAGGGGTCACTGGTTCAATTCCCAGTCAGGGCACATGCCTGGGTTGCAGGCCAGGTCCTCGGTCAGGGGCATGCAAGAGGTAACCAATTGATGTATCTCTCACACATCGATGTTTCTTTCCCTTTCTCCCTCCTTTCCCCTCTCTCTAAAAATAAATAACTTAAATCTTTAAAAAAAATTTTTTTTAAATAACCAAAGTAGACATAACCAAAGTAGTTAGGCACCAATTCACAAATCTTTAAAAGTCTCTCACTTCGTCCTTGGAATGCCCTCCAATTTAATTCACGACACACCAGTGTTTCTATCAAGGTATAAAGTGAAAGGATTCTTTGATGCCTTGTACCCCAAGTCTGTCTTTTTGAATCACTGGCTTGGGTTGTCTGGTGGGTTTTATTGTGCTTTTTGGCTTAGCTTGTAAAATGAAAGTGTAATTTGGGCAAGCACTCCTGGAAGAGACAGCTCTTGGTCTTTAGAAGCTTCTTGGGGAAGGATCTGGCAGTCACTGAACTGAAAATGATGAACACTCACCCCTTCAGTCATTAAAAGTGCAGATGACTGTGCTAACTAGAAGCCTCCCTCTTTCGTTGCCTTATTTCAGTGATCAGATACCAGCTTTCTTCCGGGTAACTGTGGACCTGGGTAATGAACTCCATTGATGCTGGTCAACTAAGTCAAACACCACTGAAGCTTCTCAAAGGGCGAGTGTCTAACCTTAAAAACATTATGTAATTTTACATTGCTGATTTCCCTTTTTCTTGAAAACCATTTGTGCCACCAAAATAGAGATATGTGTGGAAGTAAGACATCGCTGTTTCTTTGGCCAACTTTGATTCATACTTGGAAAAATATTTTTCTCTCCTTTTTTGGTTTCACAACTTCATTTACTGCTTATCATGTATTCTGGCTTAGAAATTACAGTGCTATAAAAGGATGATGCAAAGGAGAATTTAAGCGGGGCATGTTCAATGGACTGTAGCATGCCTGGTTCGGCTGCGTATTGCAGAGGTCTCCAAATTGCTTTGGTCACATGATCCTGGGGAAGATAAGATGTATGGGTCTATGCATACATTTATCAACATGTTATGTGCACATGTGCTACTATGTTACTATGTCATGTACATTACAAAACATAATGTAGAAATTCTAAAGAACTAAAGATGCAGATATTTTATTTGTTAATGGCAAATGGCTTTCTGCTGTCACTAGAAATTATTCACCATGTTTATCAAGGACGTGATTTAATGTACTTCATTATTTCTGAACATCACAGTTTAATCCCTTGTGCTCCAGTAATCTGTTTTAATACTTGACTTCACTGGCTGCCAGAGACATGCCACGCGTACACGCAGACACGATGGAGAAAGGACATCAAGGCCCCTCCGTTTTTAATGCCATCCTCCGATTAGGAAAAGGTTTAGGGTTGCTGTTGTCGTCTTTAACTATCACTTTGTTGTTACTGTTAACTGACACTCAGCAAGTAAATGTCCATCTTTCCTGACATTAGTCGCTCTTGAACGTTTATGAGAGCTATCAAATTTTTATATTTTAAAAAATTGGGTTCTAAACCCACCAAGACTTAGGACATTCCATTTTTAACTTATTAAACATGCAGGTGTAAAGAAAGGGTTTCAATAGGTGACACACATCGTTTTTTTAAAAATCACATTTCTAAACACCCATTTCCAAAAAAATGTGCTATGGTAACACAGGTTTCTTTGGAGAAGCAGGCACTTTCTTGCTCGTTGTTAAAATATTGCTTCTCCCTTGAAGGGCTACTAAGTGTACTGTTCAGGAAATTTTGGAGATAGGTCATTGAATTTCTGTGAGATGACCCACCTTATAGAAATAAGATGACCTTAACCCATAAAGGTCAGCAAATTTGGACACTGTCTCTTGGTAAAAAGAAAATGAAGTAATAATTCTTTGTTCTTTAGTTAAAACAACCCCATACAATAGAAACACACTGACATTCATCACTCTTCTCACAAAGTGTCTATGAAGATGCTATTCTGTTTTAAAGGACTTCTTGTTCTAGAACCGTCTAAGCAACAGTGTCCTATGGCACTGTGTCTGAACATGCCTTTGGCTACCTGGCTCTCCCTCGACAGTCTGCTCAACGACTTGCTAGTGAATGATGTGGGGAAAGGATTTCACATACGTCACTGTCAACCACAGTGAGTGCAAGTCCTCACTGCAAATAACCTACTTGGCAATTTCTAATGGGCAGAGCTGACTTCTGGTTGGATTTCGTGAAATTACTTTTATCCCAAATGGGAACACCTGCCGGATATCCCCCAATATCCATTCTCTCCTTCCTCTTCAGTATCGGAAACTTGGAGGGCACGTGACCACCCAGGGCAAAGACAGCACCTCCCACATGGCCTTGGAACTAAGTGTTGGTCTTAGGGACATAAGCAGGAATAATGGAGAGCCTTACAAGGAGGGACATATCTTTTGCTCCCTTTCCTCTTGTTGACACTTTGCTGGGATTCAAGTGCAATGGATGAAATTTAGGCAATCCTTGGAGGAGGAGGGAGAAGGCAGGTGCTGAGGCAGCCAGATTAAAAAGAAAGGAGGAACCTGGGCCCTTCGTGACTACATTACCCCCAGATCAGTCCTGGACTGTGTGTCTACGTGGGAGAGAAGGACACTGCTGTCTCTCCAAGCTGGGTTATTTCAGGTTTCCTGGCTCGCGCTGCTGTGCCCAGCCCCGGCTAATGCACCTGGTAACAGGGCTGATGAAGGGCTCACGCTCACAGTCAGAGGGGCAGCTCCGCCGTTTTCTCACGTCAGCCTGCCACCTTCGATCCACAGCTGCCTAACAAAAACCGCTTAAGCCACTTGCCCATTTCGTCAGAATCGGTTCATCGAGATAACATAATACACTCTCCAAATCTGCTTTATCAGGTACGAAGGCTTCGCAACGAGGGCACCACCACCGCGCAAGGCCAGCTCTTCTCTCCGGACACCTCAAGGGCCATGCATAGCTGTCTCACGTTAAATATCAAAGCTTTACCGGTTTTGGTCGATACATAAATATACAAAGAAGTTCTACTTTCCTCCTGTTCCTCCCCCACTCCTGCCAACTGTTCTTAAGCGCCTCCCTGGTGGGCAAGCATCCAGTACCAAGGGTATTGGTGCATTAATAATAGCAAACTGTAAATAATTTCTCTCCTGCTTCACGATACTATATGGTGAGATGAAAATGTTCCTTACGGAAAAATCGGCGTAAAGAGGTGTTCGCCATAAAACTGAAAACTTGTAAAAGCAAACGGTAAACCAAGGGGTGGGTGTTTGGCAAGACTTTGGTGCCTTACCGGAAAACCTCAAGAACACTCCTTTCTGGTAACCTGGGAGCCACCTGCTTGAACGCTTTCTGGAAATCTTCCAAAGTTAAATATCCACGATCTGTTTGAAAACAAAATATAAAACAGTCACTTACCTCTATGAACCCTATAAACTGTTATTTCAGCCATAAAACTTACATACTTTATTTTTTTTAAAGATTTTATTTATTTCTTTTAGAGAGAGAAGGTAAGAGAGGGACAAAGAGAGGGAGAGAAATATCAGTGCGAGAGTTGATCAGTTGTCTCTCACACGCACCCTGATCGGGGACCAAACCCGCAAACGAGGCGTGTACTCTGACCAGGAATTGAACTGGCAACCTTTCGTTTTACAGGACGATGCTCAACTAAACTGAGCCACACTGGTCAGGGCTCACACAATACTTTAATATGCCATTAAGAGAAGAGCAGTAATTAATTGTTGATTTTGCATGTAAGATAAACTGAGATTGTCTCCTTGGGAGAATTTAAGAATCCAGTGATGCTCTCCTTTAGTGGTCACTGTCAAGTCTTATCAGTCACTGATTCTCCAAGTCCCAGGGGAAAGACTATAGAGACATGCACCGCAGTAACAGCATCGGGCTTCAAAAGTCTTTGTGAATTTCCAAAACAGTCTATTCTTCAAGATTCACTTTTTTTCTTGCCTGGTATTGGAATTATAATATAACCAGATTGAAAGGGAAACCGTAACAGCAGCCAAGACACTGAACCTGGACTCCATGAGCATTTTCGCCCCAGGTGAGGTCTGTGGGGCGGGGGGCTCTGAAGCCACCCTCTCGGCCACATTCAGTGCGGGAAAACAATTCCTCCAGTACTTTCGGGGTCAAAGCAGGGGTCGAAGGAGAGGCCATCATCTCCCACACCTCCATAAGTGGTTCGTGACCTACACCCCACGTGGCCAGCCCTTTTGTGGTCCCGATTATAAACGTAAGTACAATTATGTAACTGTCAACATTATTTCATCCATGGTAAATGTCAAGAATTTAACATCATGATGGAGGAAAAACAACTCCTACCAATACCTAAGGTCATAGTTAATGAGGACGGTAAAATAAAATTCCAAGTATATTTATTTGGTGTACTGAGTATATGTTCCCACTCATAGTTCCTTAATAGACATTTGTATTATTTTTATAGTTTTAAAGATTTTATTAATTTGTTTTTAGAGAGAGGGGAAAGGAGAGAGAAAGAGAGGGAGAGAAACATGGATCGGTTGCCTCTTGCAGCGCCCCCAACCAGGGACCAGGCGCACATCTGAGGCACGTGCCCTGACTGGGGATCACGCCAGCGACCTTTCCCTTTGTGGGGTGATGTCCAATCCACTGAGCCACACCAGTCAAGGCCGAAACAGTCATTTTTACTATAAAAACATTTTAAAGGAACTTACAGTATCTGTCAAAAGCTGTAAAGATGTGTCTTATTTCATTCCAATATACCTGAGCTTCCTTCTTTTTCCTGACAATATTTAAAAACTCTTCCAGTGATATACCTAAAAGTTGGGAAAAAAATTTCCACAGTTGACTGCCTTCCTCTTTAACAAAACACAAAACAGAAATAAGAAGTAATACATATCACAAATTTTATCTTAATTTCGATGAATAGCATTTATTTCTAAAGAGCTATAAAGTCAAAAAGACATTTTGCTAAATGCTAAAGTAGGCCCAGACCTAGGAGTCAACCGCAAAAAACAGTGGGTATAGTTTTAGCTCACTGGGCTTTTCCAGGGGACAAAGGGGGGGTGACCTCGAAAAAGTGGAACATGCTTCCCTGTAACTGAGCGAACAGAGGGGCCCCAAGCTGCATATTAAACGAGGTCTCCTAATTTGTCTTTCCTTCTGCTGCTTTGATCCCTGTCGTCCTAGCCAGATGTCATTACCGCAGGTTTTTTTCCAACAGGGAGATCGGGGCAAAAAAGTAGCTTCTCAAAAGTCAATGCCGATTGGGCACCGCAGATAAAAGCAGAGAGAATATTCCGTAAACAATGGGGCTGGCACCATCCCCAGACCTGGGTACACCGATGACTGTTCCGCAGCCCCGGGCTCTGCTTCCTGTGACTCTCGTAATAAAAGAGCCCAGCGTGATCATACAAGATTGGATACTGTGCTCACAATGTCTATTAAAATGAATTCTAATGTGATCTTTGTAACAGGTTTAAAGAGCGGAGCCAAGTGACCTGAGCCCTAAATATATAAAAAGAGCATTTTGTTTTTATACATCAGGATTTCAATTGTTTAAAAAAAAGTATCACTGTCTCCAAAGTAGCCCCAAATCATACAATTTCTGAAAATTTTTCCACGTTTTCTTATTTGTATACAGTTAAAGATTTAGAAACTAAAAGTTTGAACTACCTTTAAATTTAAGTGTTGCAATGAGTCACAACTCCTTAGGACCCACTGTGTGCAGGCATGGGCCAAGCCCTGGAAACAGAGGGGAAAAGAACACACACAACACACAGGAGGGGGAAAAAGCGGTTTCACAGGACCAGCGGCCAGCGTACCCACGATTATAAATCGCAACGAGGAGAAACACCAGAGGCTGTAAGCAAGACATTGGAACCCTCCTGCAGAGCGCCCTCTGGTGGAGGAGAGATCTCATAGAGCAGGTACATTTAAGCTAAGGCCCAAATGATGAGAAGGTACCAGCTGGCTAAAGGATGGGAAGGACAGCATTCCAGGCAGCGAAAACAGCAGGTGCCAAGGCCATGGGTGAGAAGAGGAGAAATGGAAAAGGCCATCGTAGTCGGGATGTAGGAAGCGAGACAGTGTCAGGAGGTGGGACTGCTGAGGCGGGCAGGCCCTTGTGGACCACAGGAAATCGTCTGGTTTTTATTACATTTGCAATAGGATGTCAATTTTTAAAAAAGATTTAAATTGGGAAGTGACATGAACTGATTTAGACTTTTTAAAGATCTTCCTGGCTGTTACCTTAAAAAGGGAAGAAAGTAAACAGAAAAAGGGACACCTGTTAGGAGCCTACTGGCAAGAGATGTGGGTGCTAGGGTGCTGGTGGTGGGAGCCAAGGACAGAAAGGTTCCACCCAAGTTTCACAAGAGTTGAAGGGTTGGAGGAGGCAGATGTCAAGAAAAACCCCTAGGCTCTGGCTTAAGTTGGTTTGAGGAATCCTTTAAAGAGATGAGAAAGACTAGGAAAAGAGCAGAAAGTCGAGTAGGCAGCTGGATATACTCTAGGCAACAAGGCATGTCTGCCAGCACCTACCAGGGTGCTTGGGGTGTGTGCAATGAGTGTGTACCGTATGGAATTAGCACATACGGTGTCCTCCCCCACGGTAATTAGGGTATGTGTTCATGTGGCTTCATTCTCATCCATTCACCCTTGTGACCAGAAAACATATTTAAATCTACTGGCTGAGGTTAAAACTGAAGTCATCATGCCATGTGTCCAAGAGATCAACTACTTTAGTCGCATGAACACCAAAAGCTAATCGATGAAATAGCATCTAGATTAGTTGAAATTCTTGAATAACGTACTCACTGACTACAGCATATCTTAGGAGGCCCTGCACAATCCAGCCCCAGCCTGCGCCTTGCCAGCTTTCCTGGCAAATTTCCCCATGTCTCCCCAAGAGAGTCGGCTCTCTCATACCTCCGTACTTCTGCCTGTGTGGGGATGCACTGCCTGGAATGCGCCTTCTCCTTTCTCCTAGTGAATTTTCTAAAAATCCTCACCAGAGGATGTGTTTTCATTTATTTTAGAAAAGAAGGCAGGAGGGAGAGAGAAAGACATAAACGTGAAAGAGAAATGTCAGTCAGCTGCCTCCCATACATGCCCCAGCTGGTATGCGGGCCACCTAGGTGTGTGCCCTGACCAGGGATGGAACCCACAGCCTGTTGGTCTAGGCTGATGCTCCAACCAACTGAGCAACCTGGCCAGAGCTTTCCTAGTGAATTTTTATTGGGTTGGCCAAAAAGTCCATTTATTTTTTTCCATAAAAGACCCATTTTTCATTTTCACCAATAACTTGATCGATTTGGATATTTTGAGTATGTTGGCTATCTCCCACTATTGACTTCTAGTGGGTGGAGGCCAGGGGTGCTGCTAAACATCTTCCAATGCATAAGACAGCCCCGCAGCAAAGGATTATTTGGCTAAAATGTCTTGGCTGAAGCTTCTCTGGTCAAGAAACTTCGCAAACCACTTTTGACCCATCCCATCAGTCACAGCACCTTCTCCATACACTGCACAAACCTTTTGTGTTTCATGCTTTTTTACCTTTCTTGAAATAATAAAGCATAATACACCAAAAATGTTGCAAATTTTCTTCCATCTTCAAAATTAAAATGGCTACACAAAAATTCACCAATTTTGATTTTTTTTAAATGCATGCTGATATAACAGCTGTCACAATACAATCTAACAAAATTGTTTCAGAAGAAGTTAAAGACATTTACTAAGTGTAACTAGAGGCATCGTAGGGAAAAAAACTAAGCAACCTTTTTGGCCAACCCAATACATCTCCCTCCAGATGCAACGAGGGCCTGACCTCCTCTTTGAAAGCCACCCTGATTTCTTCCCCTGGAGTCCCCTTTCTGTGACTCTGTTCAGAGCAGTCACAGACTCTGTTGGCTCCCGTGGTAATTATCTGGCCACACACTCGCCTGAGACACGCTAAGGGAAAGCATTGTTCACTGCTCAAAATTCTATCACCAGTGCTTATTTAGCATGACACCCTGCAGGTAAGTAGGCCTTCATAAAGTTTGTGAATAAGTAAATAAAATAATAGGGAAGCATTATTTCTAGTTTTCATCAAAAGGTATTAAAATCTGTTTGAAATGATCTTGTAACTTTGTAAACAAATGCCAAAACATAGGTCTCTTTTGATTGACAAAGCCAGCAAAATCAATCATTTCAGATACCCCAGTTTCTAAATGCATATGATATAGTAAAAAATAAATAAACAAAATTCAGAGGAAAGGAAATGCATGCATTATATTTGCTCTCATCATTGCATCTGATTTAGGGAAATGATAAGGAAAAAAAGCACAATTTCCCAGTTCATTGCATGATTCACAAGAAAAAAAAATACATGAGTGGTGACATCTTTTAAATTGCATATTCAGAAAACTCATTGGTATTTGGAGCCACAAACTAGCCAGGTCTTCATTTCATAATGATGTTGGATAAAAAGCAGGTGTTCTTTAGCTTTTCCTAGGTGAGAATGTGGATTTCAACTGCATGGTTGTCACCACTTAAAGAGAGAAACAATCTAACAACACAAATAACTTTAATTATGTAATCAAGTTCACTGGTGCTATTTTCCCACAGGATCGTTCACCTTATTTCTGGAAATCAATACTCTAGAAGTCATCAAGTAATATTACACCATGTAAACACTCCCCCGCTCCCCCCTCTCACCTCACATGCCCTTAGCTTGTTCTAATCTTCCGTGGCAACACATATCCAAATGCAAACCCCTTCTCTGAAAAGGACCCAGAACTTTGCACCAGCTTGGCTCCCACACTGTAGTAGTTAAGATCACTTTCAAAGCCACTGTGTAATGCTTTGCTATTCCTGCAGCTCTAAAGTGCAAGCTCATGAATGTAAGTCTTATGCATCTGCTGCTCTTTAAATGGCTGAGAAATAGAGGTCCTCCCACTAGCTCCACCTGCTGTTACAATATTCAAACCTAAAACTACCACTTCACAAAGACTCATAATTCTGCTGCCATCAGATTTCGAACACAATGAGACCTGCATTACCAGTGCCCACCCCTAGAGGGAACATGTCCAAAGCACTCTCACCTCAAATGCAACCTTGGGCATCAGGGACCATGGACCCCTGCGTTTATCTGAGCTTCTTACTACTCTGTCTGCAGACAGTGTTCAGAAATCACCCGGGCAGTTGGATTCTATCAGTAGTTTGCAACTTTTTCTTTTTTTAGATGTAGGAAAGCTTAATGAGTAGGAGGATGAACACAGAGCTGTTCGGTTTGGAGCGAGGTGGGCTCCCCACCATTCCCTGGCAAGCAGTGATCCCGGAAGTGCCCCCACAGGACCCAGGACGGAAGATCACGCCTTAAAGACCAGGGGGACCAACGATCTTGACAAACCCTTCAAGACTGCTGGTCTCTGCACTTTCCATATCACTGAAAACATTTCCTTCCATTTCATGAACCACTCTTGGCAAAATGACCCCTTTTCCTGTTCTGCAATGAATACACTCACATATACTTCACTTCCCACACTACTTAAGGCATGTGAGATAGATATTCACACAGAGAGACAGACAAGGAAGTGTTACCTTTTCTATTTTTTGTTTTTAATCAGTTTCCTAGGAGGGTAATCATCTTTCACTACAGGGTGGGTATATTCGAAGAGTCCAATAAAACTATATAAGTATTTTCCCTGAAAGTTTCATTATGTATATATTTTTTGTTCACAGGTCTAAGCTTCAGGGCCCGTGCACGTAGAGAAATCCTCCTGAAAATGAAGCAGTGGTCAAGTTATGGCTATCGCATGAGCTGAAATTAGAA